TAACCTTCATACTTATCAGTTTATCATGATTCATTATGATTCTAATGAGAATATTTCTCTACAAATTATTGTGATAGTTTCATGTCTCACCTGAAATTTACTTGTAGAATCACAAAAAAATAACAAAATCGATGATAAAAATAAAATATGAACAAAATGCATGTGATTGAACACATTGTATAAAAATGAAGCTAGTAATTTTAATATTTTCAAATAGGTGGGGTTGATTGAACTTAACTAACTAACTATTGCTTGTGTAATAAAGTTTGATAGAAAACATTTTGTTAAAAATTGTCGATAAAAAATGAAACATGACATTATATATGCCATACTATACTATACTATATGCCGTTATAARAAAATCAATGCAATTTTATTAATATATCTGATTAACGTCATTATATATTGRATATTACCAACTCTAAATGATACAAAAGGTTATGATAATTTAATCAAACCCCTCAATCATGTTTACATAAAATATAATCCTCATACTATTTAGATCCAAGTTTACGTTTATTTTTTGCATTAAAAATCAGTGTTTCAAAATACACTTCAAATGGCAAATATATAAATTATATTAGTGATTTTACTTGATTTTATTTGATTATTTTATTCCTTATTAATTAATAATTATATAACCTAACCTATAAAATATGATAATGGCTAGTCCTAGCTAATCTTAATTATATTATACATATGTGCRTCAAATTGATAAGTTCAACWTTTTTCTTTCTTTTATGGAATTATAATTTACCAGCCTACGAAAATTCGTATATCAAACTATAAAATCTTCTTCTGTATTGTGAATAGCACAAAGTCGAATAACGAATTGTGTAGTCACATCAGCTTTGAAACTAAACCCTTAACTTTTAAGGCTTAAATACCACAAAAAGATAGGCATGTGTTCAATTTCAGTAATCCAAGCACACGATAGAGTTATTTGAAAAATAATATACTGGCCTTCCAACAGTCTTTATTATTATATCCACACTCGTCGAGTTACAATAATTTAATAGATTTTTATTGACATTTTTAAAATGAATACCTATACATATATAAT